AGTAAATCGTATTCGATGAAAGAAAGAGAACAAAGAATAAAATAATTGTAATCAATAGTTGTGATGCATGCATTGTTGTATTAGATCGAGATCTAAAAGTTCTCTCTTGACCTAACCACAAGGATGCGGCTTTATAATATGCAAAAATAAAATGTAAAACCTATAAAGGAAAAGATAATTGAAATTACTAATCCTAGAATCTAGTTGGACTAAAATAAAGATTTGATTTTTTGAGTGATCGTGTGATAACTTTTTTCTTCTCATTCATTCAAGATATTATGTGAATGAACCTATTACTGAATCTAATGAGTTAAAATGAAAGTCAAAGTTTTATAAGGTCACTGTTCATTCTAAAATAGAAAAGGGATTCGATATAATTAAAAAAAACAAATGATCCAAATAGAAATGATTTTCTAATTTGATTCCATAATGATTCAAAAAGAGTTTGATTTTTGAATGAAGTTACACGACCCAGTTCTTATCTTATTATTAGTTTATAAGGTTATAGTTTACCCAAGAGTTGCTCAACGAATCTGTTGATTGGAATCGCGGGATGGGTAGATGTCACAGATGAATCAATTTCTTTTTATATTATACGCCTGTTACTTTATCTTTGTTAGTGCCGTCTATAATGATAGATGAATCAAAAACTTTCAATTGAACTTATTCTTTCAATTGGTATTTTTGCTTATCTTCCTATTTTGCAAAAATGGAAACTTAGGTAAGTGCTTTATAAACATATGTATAAAAAGAACATCTTTCATTTAGCTCCTTCATGCCTACTATAACTAGTTATTTCGGTTTTCTACTAGCGGCTTTAACTATAACCTCAGCTCTATTTATTGGGTTGAGCAGGATACGACTTATTTGAAATTCATATTTGAAATGAATGAAATGAACAATTCATAAAAGAAACCTTTCTGTGAGATTCCGTATATTCTATAGTTATTTACGCTGTCAATTGGCAATTCTTGGGCATTGAGATTCGTGGTAATTCGGATTAATATTTAGGTATAGATATTACCTCTTATTTTTCTCCTTTTAAACAAATCGAAATGATTGAAGTTTTTCTATTTGGAATCGTGTTAGGTCTAATTCCTATTACTTTGGCTGGATTATTCGTAACTGCATATTTACAATACAGGCGGGGTGATCAGTTGGACCTTTGATTAATTAACATCTCTTTTTTTGATTGACCTCCTCCTTTCTTTAATCCACAGGAGGTCAAATTCAGATTGCTGTTCAAGTCAGTGAAGCTATTTCAGTCTAATTCGATCTAAGAAGAACGGAATCACGCTCTGTAGGATTTGAACCTACGACATTGGGTTTTGGAGACCCACGTTCTACCGAACTGAACTAAGAGCGCTTTCTTATCAGAATAAATAAGACTATAAAGAAAAGGATTCTTTTTGTAACCCCACTACATCTTGTATGCATATACTATATAGTATCATAAAAATGAAAGATTATGTATGGCCAATTTGAATCGATCTTAATTAATCCCTCTTACCGCTCAAAGGAGAAGTAATAGTTAGGGATGACAGGATTTGAACCCGTGACATTTTGTACCCAAAACAAACGCGCTACCAAGCTGCGCTACATCCCTTCAATTGGTCTACAGTGTCATTGTAGAAAATTCCTGTCTTGTTTTCCACATCGTTATTTCCTCCATTGATATATCCAATTTATCTAACCATTTCGTCTTTTTTTTTGTCTCATTTGACATATAACATATAATAATAGTAAAAGTCAAAAACTTATATACATATGAAATCCGGAACGGAATCCATCGGAAAAATAAATGAGTATTTTACGGGAATGCTGGGGAAGAAGGGTACGTATTTTTTTTTTCTGTTTTGAGAAAAGGAAAATCTTATTTACCGGACCATTGTACATTTCAATTTGAATTAGGGATTCCGTGTACAACTATAAGTGGTTTTTAACTACATATGCATCTGATCATATATGTATTACATTATGTATTACAATAAAAGAAGGAGGGTTTTCAATGCGAGATCTAAAAACATATCTCTCCGTGGCACCGGTAATAAGTACTCTATGGTTTGGGTCTTTAGCAGGTCTATTGATAGAGATTAATCGTTTTTTCCCGGATGCGTTGACATTCCCCTTTTTTTCATTCTAGTTATTGACATAGGAAGGAATAGGAATAAAGACGATTAGAGATACAATCAGATATCTGTGACTAATCCCGCTTTCCCTCTTTTCTCTTTTTTCCCTTTTTTTTTAGAATTAAGGGAGGAAAGAGAAAGAATAAAAGTAGATTCAACAGCTGCGAGACTCAAGTTTCAAAAATGAATCATAGAGGAATAGAGGCAGAATAGAAAATGGGATCTATGGCAAGAGTATTCTACAAGATACTTAACTAAAATACTGTACTACGATTTGAAATAGAGTTTAGAAATCATTTTATTACTTAATATTATGACTTTGATTTATTATATTGATTGCAGTGAAATCTTTCTTTCATAATTGGATTTTCAGTTAGTCACTTCTTTTTTTTTCCTTCGTTTCTTCTTCTTCCTTTCGGATCGAAAATAGAAGAGTTGAATAAATCAAAAATCCAAAGGAGGTTCATGGCCAAGGGTAAAGATGTCCGAGTAACAGTTATTTTGGAATGTACCAGTTGTGTCCGAAACAGTGTTAATAAGGGATCAACGGGCATTTCCAGATATATTACTCAAAAGAACCGGCACAATACGCCTAATCGATTGGAATTGAGAAAATTCTGTCCCTATTGTTACAAACATACGATTCATGGGGAGATAAAGAAATAGATCAAACTAAGCACCTGTGTGTCACCCTTCCAAGGAAGGGGAAAAATGACATTCTATTATATATAACATATTTAAATATAAACAAATAAAATCCTATTTCTAATTCATTTTAGATCCGAGAAATAGGATTTTCGGGATAAGGAATAAACTAAACAAACCATGGATAAATCCAAGCGACCTTTTTTTAAATCCAAGCGATCTTTTCGTAGGCGTTTGCCCCCGATTCAATCGGGGGATCGAATTGATTATAGAAACATGAGTTTAATTAGTCGATTTATTAGTGAACAAGGAAAAATATTATCTAGGCGAGTGAATAGATTGACCTTGAAACAACAACGATTAATTACTACTGCTATAAAACAAGCTCGTATTTTATCTTCGTTACCTTTTCTTAATAATGAGAAACAATTTGAAAGAACCGAGTCGACGGCTAGAACTACTGGTCTTAGAAATAGAAATAAATAGACTTACTCTTTCTTCATTTGAATCAAAATTCCAATCCAAACTCAAAGGCAGATTGGTATTTTGTTCGAAAAATCTAAGAATCCAAATTTAATTATCATGTCGTAAGAAAAAAAAAGAATCGGGGAAGAAGAAATCTTTTTTTTTTTTTTATTGAATGCGTTCGTTCATTTTGACTACTTTATTTATCAATTTATGATATTTTATCATATTCATTTCTACTCTACCCTCCCGGAGTTCATTCTCCGGGGAACTCTGTTTAAATTCTTCCGGTGGATTCCTTCCAATCTACTTCTTTTATGATCTCATTGGAAATCATATAAATACAATTCCTATTTGATATAGCTATTTGTGCAAGTATTTTACGATTAAGAAGCAACTGTCTCTTGTACAGATCATGGATTAATCTACTATAACTATAGGATACCCCTATTTCGCGAATTACTGCATTTATTCGAGTGATCCACAAACGACGAAAATTTCTCTTTTTCCTATTCCTATCCCGATGAGCCGAAACTAAAGCTCTTATTTTTTGTTGAGTAATAGTTCGAGTAAGTCTTGAATGAGCCCCTCGAAAGCTTGATGCAAATAAACGAATTTTTGTTCTACGTCTCCGAGCTATATATCCCCGTCTAATTCTGGTCATTGAATAAATGAAATGAAACTTTGACGAATAACTAATTGATTTCCTTTCTTTCAGTTATTCTTTCCCCTTTCCTAGTCTATTAATAACAAAACGGATTTTTCCAATGTATAAAATCAAAATTCCAATGGCTTTGGCTACTATAACCTTCCCGACCACGATTTTTGCTTTTTTCTTTTTCTAGGCATTTCACTTAGAAATAAGAATAAGAAATTGTATTCTACTAGGTATCAAAAATAGAGTCAATTGAAAAAATCAATCTAAATAGATAAAGAAATAGTGGATTCCATCGTTTCTATGGTTACTTCTTAAACGGTGAGGTCTTCTCTATACACCGGAGCCTTTACTTCATTTAATCAATGTTATTGGTAACTTGTATAGTTCACATTCTTTAGCTCTACCCATGAATTATCCAGTAATAGGTCTTTCACAATCAGATCTACCTATATATACAGTAACGGTATTTAATTATGAAGGTTAGCTGGGTAGCTGACCTTGTTAGTCCGTTCTTGGCAAGAGGGGAGAGCCTAATCTTTCTGTTTTTTAAATCAGATTTCCTCCGCTTAATGGATAACCATTTGTTATCAATGGAGAATTGCTTATCATCTTAAATTGAGGTGATTGGATTTGCACCAATGGAAACCATAAATTTCATACACAATAGAGGGATAGGGATATGATAGATTTTTTTATTTTTAGATAGTGAATGGAGTTTGTTTTTCCATTCTATCCTATTCATCGGTATTGATCATGGATACTGGAAAAATTGTTTTCTTTCTTTTGGGCTAGCTCATGATCTGAACGAGTCGCACATACACCCTAGTACATGTTCCTCGACGCTGAGGGCATCCCCCAAGAGCGGGGGATTTCGTGACATTTCGGATTGGCTGTCTTGTATTTCTAATAAGTTGTTTAATAGTTGGCATGTTGAATCATATCCATAATATGATGGGCTGGTTTAGATCGATCCTAACCAGATGATTATGAATTACTTCTAGTTAATATTCTATTAAATAAGTTTTTATAGATAGAATATTAAACTTGGTAAAATAAAAAGATAAAATCTCAAATCACGGAGTTGGGCGAAATCCATGCTATTT